AACTAAGGAAGTAGCAGTAGAGAGAGAGAGGAGACAGGTATGAGGATGTTGACAAGGTTCAATAACCAACTAATTACTGGGAGAAAGAGAGAAATTACAGTTGATTCCCTGGTTTAGACTTGGGAGATTGCATGGGTAATGCTGCTGGTCACTGAGACAGGAAGCCCAGGACAAAGGAACAGGTTTACAAAGATGAGTTCTGTTTGGACATACTGGATTTCAAGGCCTATAAAAGGCCTAAGCAAGCCTAGGGCACTGCCTATTTATGCCCTGCCCCCCACCACCTCTCACATTGCCTGTGGGACTCTCCCTGCCAGCTCTAGGCTGGCAGCACCATGCCCACCACCAGGTTACTGTATCTCTGCTCTAGGGGTGAGGTTCAACTTCGTTTCATTTCTGTATCTCACCTCAGTGTTTGGCACACAGACGCTCAATGTGTATTTGTTGAACTGCATCAACTTTACAGAAATACTCCCCTTGTGGAATGAAAAAGGTGCTACTGGAGATGGAAGACCAGAAAAACAACTATGAGCAGAAGGCCAAGGAGTCTCTGCAGAAAGTGCTGGAGGAGAAAATGAACGCAGAGCAGCAGCTACAGAGCACACAGGTATGAGGCTGGGGACCCCAGGGCCATCGGGGGAGCAAGGGAGCCAGCTGCACAACCCCCTGAACTCCCTCCTCTCTGATCTCCCTTAGCGTTCCCTCGCCCTGGCAGAGCAAAAGTGTGAAGAATGGAGGCGCCAGTATGAACTTTTGAAGGAGGACTGGAGAACCCTAGGGAGCCAGCACAGAGAGCTGGAGAGCCAGCTCCACGTGCTTCAGTCCAAACTGCAGGTACCAGGCACTGGGGTGGGGAGAGGGATGGTGATGTGAGAAGCTGCTCCCAGCTTGGGAGCCTTCCAGGCAGCTGGGAGCATCTGGCTTTCAGTTCCTCACTCACTGTCCACTTTGTACCAAACTCACTGTTTTGGCTCTGAAATCTAATTTTGAGTTTAGCTAGGCTGTCTGTACCACTCATGCAAATGAACTAGGTGTTCACTGGAATCGTAACCACCTAAATACAAAGGAGTAGGCTAGAATACTCATCAGCCCACAAATGTTATATACCAACCCACTCTCCGACTCCATCCTCATGGAACATCCAGCTCAGTCAGCCCACAAATGTTATATACCAACCCACTCTCCTCCATCCTCATGGAACATCCAGCTCAGAACTGCCCACCATTGCCACAGAACGAATGTCACTGATTTATTTATAGGTTGAATATTAACTGACACATCTGCCAATGCAAAGTGATTATACTAGACCCTTGACATTCTCAAGGGTTCCATCAGTTGCCAAAGTGTTACCTTGGAAAAATTAACTACCCCCCCCCCTTATATCACAGGATCACTGTAAAGACTGCATTAGGCAATCCATGCAAAGTACTTAGCACGATGCCTAGCATAAAGAAGCACTCAATAAATGTTAGTTATTATTTCGTATAAACTTTACTTACCCAGTTTGAAATTTTGAGGCTCCGCCTCAAAAGCTGACCTGTACAATTTTCCTGAAGCAGGGATCAGAATAGCTCACATGAAAATAGCCTGATCACAGAAGTGAGCCTGGCTGGCTCCTCTTTATCCCATTCACATCTCAATCTTTGTTGTTCTCTTCTCAACAGCTATATGGCAGCTCTTATGAAGGTTTTGGGGTTTTTTGACCTTAATTCTTTGTGAAAAATGGCCCTACTCCCACCCCCAAATAAACTGCTAGCACTAACATGAGAAGAGAAAGTGAAAACATCTAGAAAAGTGATGAATTGGAATTCCAAAATAATTTAGTGATTTACTAATATGTCAAGCCACAAGTCCCTTAGGAATATCAGATGTCTAATGCACTGTTATAAATGTAAATGAGGAACAGAGCAGAACAAGTGGAAGACTACAAAAAAAAAACAAACTTCCCTATTTTCCCATTTCCGTAACATTCCTTCTGTATCTAAAATTCTGTAATTTTCTACAATTTTCTTCTTCCATGGGACCTGCCCCCAACCTCCACCCCAGCACTGACCTCCTTCTGGTTTGGCCCTGCCTCCTCCCCTTCCAGGGAGCAGACAGCAGAGACTTACAGATGAACCAGGCCCTGCAATTTTTGGAGAATGAGCACCAGGAACTACAGGCCAAGATTGAAAGCCTACAAGGAGACAGAGACCTGTGCAGCTCAGATACCCAGGACCTACAAGGTACCCTTCTCCCTGCAGGCCATGGGAGCATGGGAGCATGGCTGAGTGAGCTAAGAATAAAGCAGCTGGGTGGAGAGAAAGGCCTCCGCCTCTTGTTTGTTTGCTTGGCTAGCTTTATGATTTCATTTTACCTCAGGGGAGAGGCAGGGCCGTTTTAATCATCCAAGATTGAAAATTAATTTCACTGTACTAGAGCATTTTGTTGTTTGAGCTCTTTTCCAGCCCATCCCTCTGGGCCAGATCATAGCTGCTCCCACATCAGTTACCCCCATCAAGGCCACATTCCTAATTTGAAAGGGAAAGGTCAGTTGAAACATAAGGCACAGTGAACGTCTGTCTCCCAGTCACAGCCTGTGTCAGCTGGTAAAGAGGAATAGGTAGTGTGCAAATGCAATCTTTAATTCAACGCAACATTATTAAAGTGCAAAATTCAACTCCAAGGTCCTCCTTTTTAAAAAAAAAATTTTTTTTAATTTTTTTAAGTACAAAATTCAAGGTACTTGGCCTTCTGGTTGATCTCTTCAGAAAGGGGACAAATAAAGCAACTTGCATCTCTCATCTCTTAGAGGCCACAGACAAGACAGCACCTGTTACTCATTTTCATTCCCACATAGGGAGTTAAGTCTTGAGTTCTTCTATTTTGGTTTGCCTTATTTCATTTTCAGACCAACTAAAGAAGTCAGAGGAGGAGAAACTTGCCCTGGAGACTAGAGTACAACAGTTGCAAAGTAAGTTCCCTTACAGATTCTGAAAGTGGTACAGGTGGGGTTTTGGTACTCTGGGGCTCCGGGTCTACCAAAGGCATCCAGAAGAGGGATTGGGGGCCCAGTTCACAGCATATCCTCTACCTCTGTGCATTTTCAGACTCTTCTCTTATGAAGCAAGGTCATTACATAGCTTTGTCTATTAGCCTTTTTTCTTTTTTTTCTTTCCTTTTCTCCTTCCATACCAATGATGACCACTTACACTTCCCCTAGAATAGCAGATTTTAAAAAGTATTGGGTATCCTAGGGTAGTTCTCATTCTATATATGCTAACTTATGTACATGAAATGTCACATACACCTTTGTCACTAGGAATGACTTAGAAAGTAAGCTCATACCACAAATGCCTCCATCTACTTCAGACTTCATGTTGGGACCAGAAAGGAAAAGGGACTACATCTCAGAAGAAAATCTGACAATTTCTGAAAAGCGGGAGGACATGACTTACTTAATCCCTCTACTATCAGGTGTCCCAAAGGTCATTATTAATAGGAAAAATTAACAAACTCATATCCTATATTATATTTTATATTTTTCATGTCTGTCAACAAGTAGAGAAATATTTTATAAAATTATGTAATGAATATTTTGTAAATAAAGGTACATTTAGCTACAATTTCCCATTTTCGCTGTTTGTGTGCATGACATTTAGGACACCCTGTATTTGCCCACCACCTTAAACTCTTGATACCCAACAGATGCTCTAAGCAAACACCCATGAATAGCACAAGAGCAGAGTAACTGCAGGGGAAAGGGAGGAAGAACGTGGTGGACATGGAGCGCCTACAGGGTGGGAGCTGGATAAGCAGGAAGTCCCTTCAAAACCATGCTTTCACTCATTCAGTACAAATCCTCTGAACCCCTCCTAAGGACCAGGTGCTCAGGATATATACACTGAGCATACAGTAATGAACAAAACTGATAGTTCCTTTTCTTAGGAAGCTTACATTCTAAGTAAGCTCTAAAGTCCACTGTAGAGTCGCCAAAAGCAAATAAATATGTATCAGGCCATAAAAACTGCCGTGGAGAAAAGCAAAGCAGGTTAAAGGGGAAACAGTTGCTATTTTATATAGTTATCTAGGAAGGCCTTTCTTCTAAGGTAGCATTTAAGCAGAGACTTGAAGATAAAAACACAATAGGAAGAGATATAAGGATGGTATATTCCCAGCAAAGTACCACAGATTGGATTACTTGAAGAAAAACAAAATTTACTGTGTCACAGTCTAGAGACTAGAAGTCCACATTCAGGGTGTCACCAGCAGGGGTTCCTTCTGAGGGCTTTTATGGACAGTTCTATCCCCGGCCGCTTTCCTTGGCTTTGCTGATGGCAAAGACACATCTTTTCTGTATCTCTTCATATCATCTTTCCCATGGACATATCTGTGTCCACAATTTCCCTTCTTATAAAGACGCCAGTCATTTGGATTAAGGCCCATCTTAATGACTTTATTTTAACTTAATCACTTCTGTAAAGCACCTATCTCCAAATAAAGTCACAATCTGAGGTACTAGGGGGACATATAAATTTGGGGCACAAAATTCAACCCATACCAGAAAGAAACATTTTTAATAATTAAGGTGAAAAGCAGAGTTTGAGTAGAGACTCTTTATAGTAATTACACTAGCATAGACAAGTTCCTTGTGTTTTCCAACAGATCTGCTTCAGAGTCAATCCTTACAGCTTCAAGAACAGGAGTATCTCTTAACAAAGAAAGGTCAGCAAATTTACTACCACAAATTCTAAGATGGTGCTCTTTCCTTCCCTGCCTGTAGGCAGGGGGATGGACTATATGACCTCCTGGGAGTCTAAGTCAGGAATGTTAGAGGAACTTTTTACGGACTAATATTGGCTCTGAGGACATTTCAACTAGTTAATCATCTATCCTGAGGTAAATAAACCATGAAAACGGATTTCTCCTCTCTCTGAAAGCATATGTCTGTGTTGAACAATTCAATAAATTGATTTTGAACTCAAGACTTTATGTCAATTTTTACACACTTGATTTTCCAACTCATATCCATCTCCCAGCCCCAACCACGTAGCAGGCAAGAATCACCTCACTCCTGGCTGTAGAGTCTGCCACCCAAGCTTCTCATGGTGTAGATGAAGGGAGCAATAGCACTTCTCTTACCCAATACACATGACCTTCATTTTCTCCTCACAATTACTGGATATGACATAATAAACAAAACAGAAATCAGTATGGCCATATAGTATGGATAAGGACACGAAGGCCTGTGGTCACACAAGTTAAAGACAGAGCTAAGACAACAACCCAAAACATCTGACTCCTAGTCCATCTTTGGCTACAAGATACATTTTAGAATATGATTCCCATTTTCACAACTTTCAAATGAGGACATTAAGGGAAAATGGGGTTTTATTGAAGCATCCAGCAAACCTACTTGACAAACTAGTCAGGATGTGACATACAAGCAAAGAATTCAATTAGTAACTTTCGTTAAAATTATCTAACATTAGAGAAGAGTGGGGATGCAAAGAGCTCAAATTCCTGCTGTCTGTCCAGGCTGAGCAGGTTCCCAGTGGGAGTTCTTATGTTGAAGAATTCCATTCTATTCAGTCTAGCCAAGGGCAGGCCTGACCTTTTTCCCTCCACTCCCTGACTCCCAGGGTTCTCACTCAGTGACAAGGCCCTTCCTCAGAGTGGTAGTCTCACTCTCACTAAGAATTTGGCTACTTTTTTAGATCAGGCTTTGCCTGTGTGGAGTCCAAAGTCCGTCAGTAAAGAAGTGGAACCTGAGGGCACAGGGAAGGAGAAAGACTGGGATCTCAGAGACCAGCTGCAAAAGGCGACTTTGCAGCTCCAGGCCAAGGAAAAGGAGGTGAGAAGGTGAACTCAAATGGTGAGGGGCTGATCTGCAGAGTGACAGGGGAAACTGGGAGACAAACAACTAGGATTTCAAAGTTTAAATTGTGATTGGGAGCCTGCAGGTATTCATTTGCCTACATAAAATGTCTTTGCTATTGGATTCACTTGTCGATTTCTTCCATTCCTTATTTATACCAACTCCTATTCAAGGTTTTATTAGTCACCTTTTAGAAAGTCAACCTAAACTCAAACACAATTTAATAAACATGAACTTCTCAAACATTGTCCCATAATGAGTATCTTAAAGCTTTATATAACAATACTCTTCCTTTCTCCATAGCCACAAATGTACATGTCCCTGGAAGAATTCGTATGCAACTAGCTCCTGAAAAGAGACTTGTACTAAGGTCACTGCTAGGTCTTTTGTGCTCTAAGAACTTCACCTTTTGGTGTCCCCCATTTGCAAAGCACTCACACTGTCACATAAAAGAACTTAACATGTATAAACATAATATAATAATATGCATTGTAATCAATTGTTTAAATGAATACATTCCAGATAAACTGGAAGAGACAGTAGAAAGACAAATTCAAATCTACAAGACTGGGAAGGGAAGATAATGGTAAAAATGCCAAATAAATGAAGGAGTAATTTACACAGGATAGTCTCCTCTTCCTGGACTCTGTCCTAAACAAAAGTGATGGAGATGACCTTGGTGATATTTTCCCCAGTGCAGAGAACTACATTCAGAGTTAGACAACCTCAGTGACGAGTATCTCTCCTGCCTGCGTAAGCTGCAGCACTGTCGAGAAGAACTGAAACAGAGCCAGCAGCCACCTCCCACAGTAAGAGGGTCTATTCACCCATAACCCCCTTGATGATAGTGGGACAATCCCTTCTTCAGCCAAGCCTTACACAGCAAACTTATTAGCCCATGCCAACATGGGGCCAGCTAGCCCGCTGCACTTGCTTTAATACTATACTGACAGAGTGTCACTGGTTGTCTAGGGACTAGGAAAAAAAATCCATAGTGATAGAATGGCAACCATGAAAAGAAATACATCTAACCCCAACTTTCATGGTACTCTTGATCCTGAATGGAAAGACTGTAAGCTAAAATATGAAAGGGTTTCTTTTAGTCTATGGTGAGCATGGTGGCAAGGACAAATGAAGATCAAAAGTACTGACACAGGCCAGGTATGGTAGCTCTTATCTGTAATTTTTGCACTTTGGGAGGCTAAGGCAGTAGGATCACTTGAGGCCAGAAGTTCAAAACTAGTCTGAAAAAAAAAGCAAGACCCTGTCTCCATAAAAAATTAGGCGGCGCCCATAGCTCAGTGGGTAGGGTGCTGGACATATACACTGAGGGTGGCGGGTTCGAACCCCAGCCAGCTCAATCAACAATGGCAACTGCAACAAAAAAATAACCAGGTGTTGCAGCAGGTGCCTGTAGTCCCAGCTACTTGGGAGGCTAAGGCAAGAGAATTGCTTAAATCTAAGAGTTTGAGGTTGCTGTGAACTGTGATACCACGGCACTCTACCCAGAGTGACAGCTTGAGACTCTGTCTCAAAAAAAAAAAAAAAAAAAAAAAATTAGCCAAGTACAGTGGGGCACACTTGTAGTCTCTTCAGCCATTCAGGAGACTGAGTCTGTGCTTACAGTAAGCTATGACCACACCAGTGCACTCCAGCCAGGCAGACAGACAAGACCCCATCTTAATTTTTAAAAAAGCTGAGGCATATGAACAGACAATGTGATTTTTCTGAGTTATTGATTATTCATATCAGCATTTAAGTATCAGGATCTTGCTGGATATGGTTCCCTGGGCCAGGGACCACTGGTAAAGTGATTTTGTCCCAAGGGAAGTGACAGAAAGTAAGAAGTAAAAAGCTTTTTCTCCTCCACCAACCCAAAGTTTTCTATTGGACTAGAACAAGAAGGGAAATTATTTTTGCCTTCATCTCTATCTTCCAACTCATGGCTGCTTTCTTCTGCCTCCCTCACCCTCTGCACAGAGGCAATGTGGTCAATGGCTCCCGATGCTGATGGTGGTGATTGTCACAGCACTGGCAGTGTTCCTGGCCAACAAAGACAACCTGATGAGCTGAATAACTTGTGACAGCTACCTTGGGTGACAATTAGATACAAGCAACTCAGTGAAAAACTCAGGTCTGGCAACTTTACAGATTGGATTTTTCCCCAACTGAATTGGGATTTCTTTTCTTTCTATCTTTTTTTTCTTTATCTGAGAGAGAGATATAGCAAGCTGAATTGGGATTTCTGACAATCTTTGTTATTTTAGTAACCAACTGTAAATAAACTTCACCTGACCAGATTATTCCTCAGAACTCTTGGTTTATTGCAGAATGATATATCACATCACAAGTGTCACATCACTTAAGCATACTGATCTATTCTCTTCAATCAAATTCAGTTGGACTATATAAACATGCTAAAGAGCCCATATTTATTCTACTTTTCTGGCAGACATTATCCACTTACAGCAGGTATATTTATCAGGCTCTCATAAAAGTACTACTTGTCCTCCACCATCTTGCTTTTTCACTTTCCTCTTATCCAGTGATGACTTCCTAGTATAGAAGGGCAAATGCATACTGCCAATACTACCACCACCACCATCACCTATACCCATGCCTTCTGCATATGTGACCAATTGATTATACCATTCTGTCACTTAAGACACTAGGAGGTAGCATTTGGAACAAATCCTATATACCATCCCCAACCTAAGATGATCAGTTATAAGTACCTTCTACACGGGAGGAGAGTTAAAGTCAGAGGGCCACAGCTGGCTGTGTGACTATCTCAGAGGAGATGCTGAGGTCAGCAAAGTCATTCTGAGTCCTAAATCGGATTCTGAGAGTCCTCTCCCAGGTGCTTAGAATGTCCCTCAGAGCTGGGAACAAGCTCTCTGGGACACTAAAGGAATAGAGTCGGACTGGGGGTTGATCTAGGAGCCATGAGATCCGAGCAGTGAATACTCGTAGTGGAGTCAGGGCTAAGCAGTTGTCATTTTCCTGGTTCAGGTGAAAGGTATAGGAGACAGGGTAGCCGAGGAGGATCCCAAATACAGTACAGAGATTCAAGTCTGAGGGATGGAGCCTGCTGGGTGAGACTGCAAGTGACACATCTCTCTGTAGCCCCTGCAAATGTGTGATGGTCTCAGCCACAAGGGTCTTCAAGTCCTGAAGCTGGTCCAAGGAGCAGACAGAAGGGTGAGGAAGGGAGCTGGAAACATTCACAAAGGCTACGGTACCAAGCAGCACCTGCTCCAAGTGCTGACATGTATGTTCAGGACTGATAATAAAGCTGTTTTCTCCAATCTCAAGGATGTGAAGTCCCAGGGTCAGGAAACCCAGTCCCTGCAGCTCCTCCAGATAACTCTGGAGCTCTGAGGCCCCTGCACAGTTGTAATCATAGAGGAGAGCTGGCTTCAGTCCCCGGGCCACTGCCAGCACCTCTCCTGCAAGATGAAGGCAGATGGCACGAGGTGGACATCGTCTTTTTCCCATGCCCAGGGTCTGCTGGGCAACTGCCACCAACACCTGAGGGCTGGGTGTTGACATCAAGCATGACCTCCTTAGCTAGCCACAGTTCCCTTCCCTGGGATGCATCTTTCAGCTCCAGATAATTGAGCAGGGGCCTAGAAACAAAGCAGTATCAGGGAATTATTAACACCAGCCAGTGACACACCAAGAATCCTGCCAACAGCCTTCCCATTCAGTCTTAAAGCATTTCCCAGATGTTATTTTGTCCCTTCCTCTGCTTTGAAATGCTAATACAGCCCACCCAAAATGGAGTCACCAATGCTACCTGATTTCTCTTGACTCATCTTCCTCAGTCCCAGATATGCGTTTTTCTAACCTTATGGCCAGATCTATGTTTTATCCAGCTTCTACTCTAAATTTTACCCATTGCAAATTATGTTCTCTGATTCAAATCCTATGGAGTTTGGGACACAGAAGAAAGAGGCAGATCAGTCTTTGGAAAAATTCAAAGCATTTCACACAAAACTGCCCTTCTGGGACAGAATTATAGGTTCCAAATGTATTATTTTCACTGCCAATTTCCCCTTCCCTTCCTGCCAAGGAGAAGAGTTGTAAGGACAGCAATATGATTAAACTAATGTATCCCAGAATATGGAACTAAAAGCCATTTCATCCTGAGATACAAAAGTAAATGAAATCCGCTACAAATGCAGAAGAGTCGTATTTTAACTTCTGCTGGCCCCGCCTTTCCCTTCTGCCCGACATCCAAGGCCGCTCGGAAGATGGGCCCCTCCTCAATCCACACGCCCACACCTGAGCATACAAGAGATTCGTTAAGGGAGGCAGAAGTTAGCTCACAGACTTTCTTCTTACACTTCCGCGGCAAGTCGGCGGGCTCCAGGCCTCCTTCCGGCTTCCTGAGTGACGCAAGGAAGACGTCTAGACCCTGGCGCCCCGCCCCAAACACGGCCTATGGCGCCTGCGCACCCACTCGGGCCCCGCCTCTTCTCCTTGCGTGACGTCATCCAGTCGCTCGCGCGCCCCCCGCAGGCACAGCAGCGTAGGGGTCAGGCTGAGAGCAGGAAGAATGCTCTCCTATGGCCCGCCCCTTCCGGCCAGACAGACCTCGGCCCTACCCTTCTGCGTAAACCGGGTGGGGCGAAAGTGAACGAAAGAAGGCGGGACCTGGCGAGACCTGGCCGCCGTCGTTTTGCTTCGCTGCTAGTCCTACGTAGGTGGTGTGACGTCTGAGGTCCCACCTGACTGGCAAACCACAAACGGCACACAGCACTTAACAAACACCTTTGTCTGCAGAAATGCGTTTTTTTCTTCTAGGTGAAACATATCTCAAGACAAGCAACAAGTGCTGCTGAATAACCTCACCAGTGAGTGATGCTACAGAGCTTTTTGAAACTTTTAAAACTTTTTTTTCTGTTCTGGAAGCTAAACTTATTTAACTAATAGAGAAATTATTATTAAATCTAACTCCCACCCAGTGCAGTGTCTCACATTTGTAATCCTAGCGTTTTGGAATGCCAAGGCAGGAGGAATGCTTGAGGCCCGTTCTAGACCAATTTGAATAACACAGTAAGACCCCATCTCTACAAAAAAGAAAAAAAGAAAAATTAGCCAGATGGGGCAGTGTGTGCCTGGATCACTTGGACCCAGGAGTTTGAGGTTTCAGTAAGCTATGATTGTGCCACTTCTCTGTGTTGGCTACCTCTTTGTAAAAAACATTTGTAATAAGTATTTTGTAAATAAAGGTATGTTTAGCCACAATTTCCCATTTTACTATGTATGGTGACATTAAGGGTAACTTTTGGAACACCTATAGTTAAGACCACATAAACCACTCATCCATTCCTCTGACACGTTTGTAAACTTTTCCTTACAGTCATGCGCGAAAAGCCTGGTACTTTTTAACACTTTCTCAACACCCTTTACCAGCTCACATTACCTAGGCTCCATCCAGTTAGACAGCTTGGCTTTCAGCATTTCACAGAAGGGAAAGAGACCTGCCCAGATTCAACAGTTGCTCTCCTAAGTTACCTGCAGTGGGTTATTTTTTACTTTGAGCTTCCATATACAGATGGGACAGCCACACACCAACACTGAATCTCTCACGATTTGACTCCAAGGTCAAAAATATAAAGTTTCTATCCATGTATGCTTCCTGCTCTCTAAAAGCCCAACATTTCCTTGAAACTGGGCAACTTGTCCTTTACCCAGATTTCAGCAGGTTATGCTTTTAATAGCAATTTCCATGAGGACTCTTAGAGATCCTAAAAGCAAGGTCTAAACATTTTAAATAAAGTAAGTCCCACTGTCACCTTCAGTTGAGTTGAACTCTTGGTTTTTTTAATAAAACTGGCTCAACTTTTCAATTATTTTTAAACTTAGGAAATGGCTTAGTTTAAAGGTAGCAAATTAGGCATGGGCTTCCTTTCCATGTCCTGATGCAAACAAGTATCAGTATTCAGGAAGATTGGGGCCTGTGACCAGCAAGCAGAAGCTTGCTTGACATTTAGGTCTTAGAGTTTAAATTATGCATAATTTCATCTTTTAAAAAAAGAGGCAGAAGGGTCAGAGAATGGGCAGAAGTTACTAGGTAGAACGAGTTGTGACAGATACAGCAACACTATTCTATATGACTCTTGTTGTTCACACCCAGATACTTCTACCAAGCAAGGAAGACAAGCAGGTTGGTGCTGGGTGATCCTTTTCTAGAAGAGCACTGCCCAGCCCTTCTTCACCCTGGCCTTAACACACCCAACACTCCATTTTTTCCCAACTTCAAAATAACCAAATGACAAAAGACTCTAAAAGTCTCTCAGCAGGGAGGAATTGTCCCCTTTATAATCATAGGACTGTATCTTAGATGCCCAGTTCACTCCTAGGTCCTCCTCAGAAAATAAAATAGAGAATTCCTGCCTCTAAAGACTGCCACCTAAGTCATATTCTCATCACCCCCTTCCCAATGCACGCACGCATGCATGCACGCACACCCGCACAATGGTGTTTGAGTGGTGACAAGGTAAATACCTGACAACTCTTTCTTCCACAAAATCCCTAGATTTTCTGTGTTAACAGCTTCCCTTTAGAAGCCAAATTTACGAACCTTTTCTCCACGAGCTGGGTGACTTTCAGACTTTGGCACCCACTTCTATTTAGATATCAAGCTTGGTTCCTAAGCAACCAGCCAGCTCCTCTCCTTCTCACTTCCCCCATCAGGGAGCAAGCTTACTCTACTAGCAGAACAGGTCAAACAGAGCTCAATTCTAGACAAATCAGCACTTGGGGAACTTTAATAAAAGCAAGGGGGAAAAAATGTGGTACAAAAGCAATGCAGAAGGGTTCTGTTCCAGGCGATTTTGCCTCCTGTACAAGTAGAATAAAGTCATCAAGTCAGAGTTTTAAAGGTGAAAGCAATTCTAGGTACCATTCCATTCTATCACTTTATAAGTAATAAATCTGAAGCTCACAGATTAAAAGACTTATTCAAGGTCACATGGGAAGCAAAGCTGCAACTACAACCCTGGTGTCCAAACTCTCAGGACAAATCTTTTACTATATCATACTACCGTTAGGAAGTTGAAAAAAGAAAACAAAAGTCTGAGAGTGATTTTTCCATAAATTAAATCAACTTTAAATCTAGGCATATTTTGGAGAATCAGAGACTTCTAACATTGTTAAGGAATAGAGACATTCAAAAGCTGGTTAAATGTGAATAATAAAAAATATCCTATATGTACAATATTGTAAAAAAGAGAAGGAAGCAAAGGGTGTTGACGATTACTGGGCTGGCAGTGCAGGGGGCAGTTGCATGCTAGGTGTGGGCTGCATGGGCTGCCAGCTTTCCTGGGTTTGAAGGATGCGGTACAGCTGCTTTAGCTGAGCGACAATGTTATCTTTTATGTCTGGAGTGGAGATCTGCAGGCGGACACTGCCACTGTCAAAGGATCGTGTGAAATCACCAGAAAACATCTCGTAGATCATCCGAGCCACCACTGGAATGACCTGTTCAGGACACAGAGGACACAGGTATCTGCTGAGGAAAAGGCATTTTTTTTTTTTTTTTTGAGACAGAGTCTATGTCACCCTCGGTAGAGTGCCATGGCGTCACAGCTCACAGCGACCTCAAACTCTTGGACTTCAATGATTCTCTTGCCTTAGCCTCCCAAGTAGCTGGGACTACAGGCACTCGCCACAATGCCTGCCTATTTTTTTGTTGTAGTTGTCGCTGTTGTTTTTGGAAGGCCCAGGCTGGGTTCAAACCCACCAGCCCCAGTGTATGTGGCGCCTAGCCACTGAGCTATGGGTGCTGAGCCAGGAAAGGTATTTTTAAAGAGCAGGATAAACTCAAGACTGAAGGGAGGAGTGAGGCACTGGGGAAGTCCTTTGTCTAATGTCTAAATACAGAGGCTGGGTGTGGGGGCTCACACCTGTAATCCTAGAACTCTGAAAGGCCAAGGCAGAAGGATTGCTTGAGGCCAGAAGTTTGAGACCAGCCTGAGCAAGAGTGAGACCCCATCTCTACAAAAAATAGAAAAATTAGCTAGGCATTGTAGCAGGTGCCTGTAGTCCCCGCTACTCCAGAGGCTGAGGTAGGAGAACTGCTTGAGCCCAGGAATTTGAGGCTGCAGTGAGCCATAATCACACCACTGCATTCTAGCCCAAGTGAGACCCTGCCTCAAAATAAAAAGTCTTAACATAGGATATCCCTTCATCTTTCCAGACTGCCTATCAAGGCCCTCTCTATATCTTAGTTCAAATGAAGGTAAAAAAACTATATGCAGAATCACATCATGTGCCTAAAGGACTGCTTACTTAGCAAGACTTTTACCAAATGTAATTTTTTGCCTGCCTCATTGTAGAATTCTGAGGCCAACCCTAAGTGCTCTTGCTGTCAACTCCTAGAATAAGCTTATCTTTTGAAAAGAAACTCAGAAGGTTTTTCTAAGAAAAACTGGAAAGGGTCATATCCTTTGAGGTTTCAACAAGACTATAATATCAGCGAGAGAATGAAAGATAAGGTTCTCTACTAAGTTAGACACCCACTTTAAGGACCCAGTGTGGTCCTACTGTACACAGTGAGTCTGCTACCCCATCTGATGATATTAAGACCCACACAGGCTGAGGGATACTTAACCTGGGTTAAACCTAGACCTAGAGGGTAAATCTTTGGCAAAAAGGGGAAGAGCTGTTGACATATCCTTATCTTCTCACCTGAACCAAAATGAGTTTTCTTTCCAAGGGTTTCCCGTCCGGCCACTCTTCCCCAAAGCATAGGTAGATCTCAAATGGTGGCTGCTTCTCTATCTGTCCTTTCTGGTGGGCAATGAGATCTGCAGAAGATAGAAGAGGAAGTTTGGGAATACTGGGTTGTTCCATATCATCCTTTCAGTAAATGCCACTGTGTAAGCCTTCCAGTACAATATCCACTAGCCACATGTGGCTACTATTTTGGAACATTAAAATTAAACAATTCCTTGGTCAAGTCACATTTCCATTCTCCACAGCCATATGTGGCTAGTGACTACCGTATCAGAGAGCACAAATACACTGGACAGAACAAATTTCAGAGATTCCTATTGGACATTGGTGATCTCGACTTGAGATTCACACATTATAAAATTCACACTTCAGTGCTCTCCAAAAATCATCTACTTGAATTGCTACTCATATATTTCCCAAAAGAGTGTGTGTTCTGCTGAGTACAATGAATAGGGTCGCCTTCCAAAGTTAAAGATTAGCTGGTAACATCTCAGGAGAGACAAATCTGTCTCCTTCTTCTGCCACTGAAGGAGCCACAACCAACCTAAAAATAGCTTGGAGTGAAACTTCTTTCTGTGTTTCCTAGGTCACCTCCAGGAAACCTTTTTCA